GACTTGGCTTTCCTCCTGCAGTCGGCATCATTGCTTCTGCTTTGTGAGATGGAGGAGGACTTTGTGGACTGGTGTCAGACATATGGGTTAATGGGTGAATGTTGGACTTGTGGGCTTGGGCAGCACTGGGTTGGGATGTTTTCTTGATGCACAGTTAACCTTTATAGAAAACTCTCTCTTTTACATGAGTTTCTGTGGATTTGTTTCTCTCAAGTACCCAGACTAATACAGAAGGTGTTAAAGCCTTTTGTTACACAATTTGCTGCAGGTATCTCAAATTTCAAAGGTCTGAAAAGGGGTTCCTGATCTTGCTTCTCATGGTCCTATCTCCACTTCAGTTAAAGGCATTTCCAGTCTTCCAATTGCTGAAGGTGAAAATCTGCAGTCCCCTTTCTATCACACCCCACATGCAATCTCCCAGGCAATCCAGGAGTCTGTACTTGTAGAATATACTCGGAATGTCACCAACTTCTCCCTACATCTGCTGCTGCTCATCCTGGTCCAAAGCCCCATCCTGTCTTGCCAGGAATATCGCAGTAGCTTCCTCCCTGTTTCTACCTCTAGCTCCTGTGTCAAGGAGCCGTGGTAAGACTGGTTTAGACAGTGGACTGGCTGTCATATCAGTCGTTCAACCCCTCCAGTCACTCCTCGTATGTCGGCTGCCACAAAAATTTACAGACTCAGATACCCTAAGGAACAGTTCTACTCTGCCCTGTAGGGTTACTGTGAGTCGGAATGTCAGTTATTTACACCGAAGTTAAAACTATTAATATATAAATCAGATCAGCCTCTTCTCTCTCAGAGCCCTCTTATAGCTCGATCTCACTCAGGAAAGATAATAATAAGAAGAAGACCTTCACTGATGGCTCTATTGCCCTCTCTCTGAATGCCAGTGTCTAGTGCCTTTCCATACTAGTCTCGCTGTTGCTTCTCCTCCACCTCAGGCCATTTGTATTTCAATTTGTTTTTCCTCTTCCAGGAATATTCTTTTCCCAAATGTCCACATGACCCACCCTCTCGGAGGACACACGTCTTTCCTGAAAGATCATTTTCTCAGTGAGGCTTTTGCTGAGCTCTCCACCAATGCCACCCACCTGCACACACACATTTCCTGACCTCCTTTCCTGCTTTAGTTGTACGCATCCATTCCCATAACCACGTCACAGGCTATACGCTGTACTGATTCCCTTATGGTCCCTTTCTTGCTTCCGATGGAGACGGGAATTTTTCTTTTTCAAGCTGAACCCTAACCTCTGGAACAGTATTTCAGCTTTTATACAGTTTCAGTGAGCACTCCGAGGACCTCCTATCAATGCTGAAGATGGTTCTTAGTTCTCTGATGCTTGTCTAGGTGACCTTTCTGTCGCACTTCTCAATTCACCAGCTACTGTCATGTCTAGACCGAAACTGTCAATATGCTGCTTAGTATGGCTACGTCCGCGGTGTTCTCTCCTCATCTGTGATTCCAAATGAATAAAACCAAAAGTCCATTTTCTCCAAATATTAGATTAAGCGCTACAAATGAAGGCAACAAATAAGTTATTCTAATTCAATTACTTTCATCGTGCATTTTAGCCATTGTAGATTGAGCTCTTAGATTATTCCAGGGACTACTGGGGGATGGGCATAAGGCCAAGAAGACAGACAGTGGCTCTGCTCTTAGAAAGTTAACTGTCGGGGTTAGGCTGAGATGCCTAGAGACACAAAATGAGTGACCCTCATCTATGGATACGAAGGAGCTTTCTATTGAGAAGTAATTTTATATCAAGAAGACCTCCCAGCCGAGTGTAGCTTAAGTCCATGGGGCTAATGCTAGCCAGGAGCCCTCTTCAGACTCAGGTAGCTGCAGGCCAATGACACAGAAAGGTGAAGCAGGATGCAGGAAGGTCATAGGGCACTGATGCAGAGTCACATGGATCCAAGGGCAATGGGAACATAGCAAGGTACAGACAGCGCTCATGTTGGATGGCCCACATGAGGTCTCTCCTGGAGGGAGACAGCCACACTGTCTAATGGTCAAATATAATTAAACAATAAATGAAGGTACATCACAAAAAGTAAAATAAGGGCTAAACCCACCCAATTGGTGAGAGGAGGCACTGATGGATAAGCATAGAATAAATCCAGAGTCAGATAAAAATGTAGACTCTCACAGAAGGAGGATGAGAAAGATGTATATCAATCAAACACATTTGCTTCTTTTATCACTGTTTAAAAGATAGGGTGACTTTGCTTTGAGTGGGAAGCAAGGGCCCAAAGTAATTCATTTGGTTTGCTTAGGAGAGACATGAGAGATTAATGGAACGAGCAGTGGCCGGAGAGGTAGAAGATCTAGGATGGAATCTAGCATTACAACTTTATTATCTCAGCAAGTACTGAGATCTATGGATCTCCATGACCTCATTAGGTAATGAAAGAAAGATGGTGCACTAGACTAGCTATAGAGACTGTCCCTATAAACTTCTTTCCTGGGCTTTTAAATGAGGTTGTTCCCATTACCAGAAGTCCTGGTGATTTAAGTGTTTAAGCACTTAATTACTAACTCTAAGGTTGGCAGCTCATACCCACTAGGCATGCCTGGGGAGATTTATAGCCTTGGGAATGCTATGATGCAGTTCTACTCTGTCTTATGGGATTGCTATGAGCCAAAATCAACTCAGTGGTAGGGGATTTGTTTTAGTTTATCATTCCTAATCCATCTAGATTAAACATAGGCACAGACAACAGTTCAGAAGGTAACTCAAGTGGGGGCGTCTTTGTAATATTTCCCTAGTTTGGGGATTAAGTAGGAATGGGTTTTGCAAAGATTCCTCATTATTTGCTGAACACTTCAACTATGATATAGCCATTCACACATAGAAATAGAATGGAGAGCTGATGATTGGATATGGCCTTTTACTTTTCTGCCTAAGTCACTGATGTTAAGAGAGAGATAAAATCTTTCCATATTTTCTCATTTTATTTGAAATTACACTGCTGAAAGAAAAATGGCTATTTTCCATTTAATTTAAACCCACACATGGAAATAGGTATTAAACGATTGTAGCTGTGTGTGTTTACTTTTTAGATGAAAGCACACCCTCGCTGGATAACGTCTGACAATGGCTCGAAGATGGTATATGGTTGTCAGAGATATTCCGAGGCTTATAATTTACCTACAATTTGTTTTTCCTGGGGAAGTTTGTGTGATAGTTGGAATTCACATATTCTAATGCCCTGCTCTCTTTCTCTGTTTTTCAGCCTTTGCAACTGGACTGTGACCTCTGTGCCATAGTGTCAAACTCAGGCCAGATGGCTGGCCAGAAGGTGGGCAATGAGATAGACCGATCCTCCTGCATTTGGAGAATGAACAATGCCCCCACCCGGGGCTATGAAGAAGACGTGGGGCACAGGACCATGATTCGAGTTGTATCCCATACCAGCGTTCCCCTTTTGCTAAAAAACCCTGATTATTTTTTCAAGGAAGCAAATGCTACTATTTACGTTATTTGGGGCCCTTTCCGTAATATGAGGAAGGATGGCAACGGCATTGTTTACAACATGTTGAAAAAGACGGTAGACGTCTACTCGAATGCCCAAATCTATGTGACCACCGAGAAGCGCATGAGCTACTGCGATGGAGTTTTTAAGAAGGAAACTGGGAAAGACAGGTGAGTCTTCTAGGAAGCAGCCTTCTTGTCTTTTATGATAAACCTTTTCTGAGTCCTTTTGCCAGCTAACAAATGAACAGAGTAACTTTTCAAATTGATTGCTATATGTTTTTGACTATTATGATTACTTGATGAGGCAGCAGCTAGGCCTCATTTATTCCACCTACACTGCCTTCTGCTCTCCTTCCTTTTTGATTGACTTGAGACTTCAGAAACACTGGATGCTTCCCAAGAAATCTTCAAATCTTTTCTTATTTAGCTCAATTTGCTATTGATTAAATTGGACTTTTATGAAAGTAGAAGCCCACACATTTCTGTTTTGAAGCATAGAAATGTTGCAGAACTTTAGGATTTATGCACTGACCTAAATTCCCTTGAAGATTGTGGTTAAGTTTTACCCGAGGCCATGAGGAGAGTCACCTATTGGTTGTATCGGACTCAGCAAATACCGTCATGAAATTATACCTCATTTAAAATCACTAATGCTAGGATTTTTAAAAAGAAATTAAGAAATTAAATACCATTCACTCAATTCTTAGAACACCTGTGTGCACTTTTCCGTTTTTCTCATTTCATTACACACCTTTTTTCACAGCATTTTGTAAACACGTCTTCCCTCTTTCTTTTCTTTAGACCTGCTTGCCTCATTCTTCACCCCCTAGGGTTTCTGCTCCTCTCCCTTCTCATTCCCTGCATTTACCGTATAACTGTGCCTGTCTTTCCCCCTTGCTTTTGTGGAAGGCAAACAGGCTAAGGGAGGAGAGTGGATTGCTAGTCCATCAATATTGGTTCATATATCTAGCTCCCATGAAGAACTACTGAAGGGAGATCTTGAAACCAACGACTACAGTTTTAAATTGTCTGTAAATTTTACTTTCTATGCAATGCCATGAATACATTGAGCATTGGCTGTAATTCCAATATTAACTCTCTGACTTCCTCAGAATATATATGCTTAACTATTTCATATTTTTAAATCAACACTATTAATTATATTGGGATGCATACTTGCTGTGGGGGTGTGTGTGTGTATGTGCACAACTTCTGATATCTTGGTATATAATTTGAATACTAATAATTATTTTTAAATTTTATGTGAATAGCTCACATATTGAAAGCTTGAGTTAATTTTATTCTAGTATTTCCTACTTCTGAGAACCAACAATGCAAAACTTCATATGAGTGCAAGAAAGCAACAGCCATTTCTACTGGACTACTGTTGGAGTTAGGAAGAAGAAGGCCACAGGTTTTATTTAAATCAATTTAGTGTAAACTAAAAGTCATTGGAGAGAAAAAGGATTAAGTTTGATGCTTTAATGAAATCCTCTCTTTTGTAGCATTATTCTATGTAAATATAACCATCTCAACGGGCTTCAGTTTTTTTCATATTTCACTAGCCTCAAGTAATACAATTAATTAGATAGATTTGCTTTTTCACTGGTCCTGGTTAACCCTCAGGGCACCCCCAAGACATAACCATAAGCCCTAGTATCATTTTGGGATTATCAGAGAAGAGCTTAGCATGCTCTTCATTCCAATGTATTTGGTCTTTGCTGTGAGCTTGCAGTGAGACAAAACTGTCACCAATAGGTGGCTTGTATAATAACTGGGCAAGAATCGCTTTGTGGGATGACATGTTCCACTGGCTGTGATAGCAATATATAAACAGGAAAGCTGTTTATAAAATGGGACAAAAAAGCTTGCTCAATAGAATTAGTTAGTTGGTATTATCAATAGGTGGTGCTTGTTCTTCTGCGTGTCAATTTGGACTCGTGTGGACTCAATTGACGGAGCAGAACGGCCCTTGTCCTATTTCCTACGCTGGAATCTCCATGGTGACACATCTCCAGGTCTTTTTTCCCTCAAAGCAGCTGTTGGATTTGAACCAGTTTAGTTTGCAGCTGCATACTTAATCATTGCCCATTGTACTACTAAGGCAAATAAAATAATAATAATTAATTTTATGTGTTTATTTTATGTGTTGTATGTAAGCATGAAGCTTTCTTGCTGTGATCTGTATTGAGTGTCTTCCTTTTTTGTCTGTTGTTTATGGAGTTTTGCAATTAGACAGGAGATGGCTGTGCTGGTGTTTTAGCAATAGGCCGAAGGAATGTTCTAGGTAGAGCCTGATTGGATGACAATAGATTGACCAAAATGACCCCCAAGGCTTTGATTTCTACTATAATTTAAATCTGTAGTCTCACGTTAGTTTGCAGATTTTATTGTCTCAAGATTTCCTCTAGTGATCTGACATTCATTGCTAATTTTTTTTTCGTGCGTGAGTGAGAATGTGAGACAATGAGTGAGAGAGTGAGTGAGAGAATGAGTCAGTGAGTCAGTGAGTGAGAGTGAGTCAGTGAGAGAGTGAGAGTGAGAGAGAGAGTGGGTGAGAGCTCATTGCTAACTTTTAAACAAGAATTAAAAAATATATATGATGGAAAATCTGAAACATAAGCAGAGAAAATAATGATGTAACGAATCTCGGTTTATCTGTCACTCAGCATGGGTAGTCACTAACTTGTGGCCAATCTTGTTTCATTCCCTAGCCAATTTCTCCTTCCCTCTGGATTATTTTGAAGCAAATCTCAAACATGATTTCATTTCACCTGTAAATATGGCTACATAGGTCTCTAAAATAAGGCCTAAACATTAAAATATCATTGTCCTACATCTTAAAACAAGTAATAATTCCTTTATATATATAGTCCATTAAAATTTTTCTCCAATTTTCTCAGATGTTTTTATCACTTTGTGTAAATCAGATAAGCCTAAATTCTACCCATTGCTCAAATACTCAAGCCAGGGATTCACAGAAGGAGCATCCACCACAATTGACTGCTTTGTCTCTACAGGTCTTAGTTCAGAGGGCGGCGTCTTGTGCATGCTCTCTGTTGTTGAAGACACTCATCATTTCTTCTGTAGAGTTTCTCTCAATCTGAATTTTGTGCTAGCAGGTTGCCCTCATAGTATTTTCTTTGACATCTTTCTTTCTATTTTAAAGTTTGAATGGATTCAAGTCCACATTTTTTGCCAGGACTTTTTTATTATGTGTAACAGATTGCAACATGGTCTGGTCTCTTGTGAACCTCACAATCATTGCTGTGTTTGAGTCCATTGTTGGCGTCATTGTGTCCATCCATCCTACTGAAGGTCTTCCTCTTTTTCATGGACCTGCTGCTTAACCAAGTGTCACGCCTTTCTTCTGATCTCTCCTGGTAACATGTCCAAGGTACATGCGACAAAGTCTCACCATCTTTGCTTCCAAGGGGCATTCTTGGTTTATTTCTTCCCGGAGAGATTGTTTGCTCTTCTGGCAGTCTGTGGTACTTTCGATATTCTTCTCCAGCACCCACAATTCAAATGCAGTGATTCTACTTCAGTCTTCTTTATTCAAAATCCAGCTTTCACATGAATTTTAGGCAATTAATAATACCATGGCTTGGCTTCAGCACACCTTTGTCCTCAGAATGGCATCTTTGCTCTTTAGCAATTTAAAAAGTTTTTTTTCAGTATATTTGGCCAAAGCAATAAGTCGTTTGCTTCCATGTTCATTCTGTCTATAATGTACCTGGCTTTAAAACCGGAGACGTATGTTGGTTTTATTGGGCTCCCTTTGGAGTGTGTGCCCAGTACTGACTCTACATGTCCTGTGCCATGTGTAAGCTAGGAAAGGAAAAGCTAAGGAACCCAACAATGACAAAATTAAAATAATGATACTTTGAACAAAACCATTTCCCTTTCCAGTCTCATATAGTAAAGTAATTGGAAAAACAATATTTAATTTAATGACATAATTAACATTCAATTGGGCATGCAGTTGCTTTGCTAGCTTTTGGGGTTACAGAAATGAATGAGACATATTCCTTGTTTTTAGAATGTCAGAGTCTATTAGGAAAGATCAGAACCAAAAAGGGCCTATAATGTGTGCTAAATGTTCTAATTAATAGTGGTTTAAAAAAAAAAAAAAAAGATGTGAAGCCCAAATGACAGAGCAATTGAAACTAAGCCTGAAAATTCCCTGTTATTCCCAGAAAATTCAAGAACCAGTGGCCTACCTTCTCTTCCTGGTAGCTAGCTATCACTTCAGGTGGATATATTAAAATAACTGCTAACTCAAACATTTTGCCTATTTCTTCAGATAGGTATATTTTATTATGAACATTCATTTTCCAAATTATTTTTAAACAGAAAATTTATATGTGACTTTTGGAAATTTCTTTCTTCTTTTTAAAATTTTTACTAAAATGATGTTCCTTTTAGTCTTAGTACTTTTCCTTGTTTTTTTATGTTAATGGTATATTTGTACGATATTTTTCCTTTTGTGGTTGACTTATTTCACTCAGCATAATGTCTTCCAGGTGTATCGATGCTTTGTTTCACAGATTCATCTTTATTCTTTAGCGTTGCATGGTATTTCTTTGAAGATTCCTGATGGCACTGTCAGGTAAATGTTGGAATGCTAACCACATGGTCAGTGGTTCAAATCCACCAGCTGCTCTGGGAGAGGAAAATGAGATTTACAGAGTCTCAGAAATCCTATATAGAATCACTATGAGTGGTAAGCAACTCGATGACAATAGGATTTGGCTTTTAGTTTAGTATCCCACTGTGTATTTCATAGATTGTTTATCCCCTCTGACAATCTATTCTATTATTGTGGATCCCAAATAAAATGAACTCCTTAATAA